AGATTAGGAAACAGTTTAAAGCATACCAAAATAAATCACTTGAGCTAAAAGGAGTACTGTATTATTTGCACAAAACTTGTAGATTTTTCCATTTAGGAACACATCAGTCAATCCCTTTTTTCCCCCCAGCCTTGGGCAGCAATGCAGATCACACACGAGAAACAGCAGAGAAGTTCATGCTGGGGTTGCCTTCCTCTCCCCAAGAGCACAGGTACTCTCCCAGCACACCTGCAGATGTACAAGAGGGAGTTCAAGGCTAAACAAACACTTTCATTATCAGGAGCTCTCTCTCCCTCTCTGTGCACAGCCGAGACATCAGCTCCACATCCCTGCTGGCTCCCGGCACAGCCACACCACACCCTCCACCAGCTCCTGCCAGCAACATCTGCTTGAGATTTTTAACAGATTTGCTCATCAGTAAATGCAAGAGGGGGTGTCTGCCAGAGTAGCAGCCACATATCCAGTGATCACTCACAGTACCTTGAAATGATGTACAGACTAAAAAGGTATGTTCTTGCAAAGGACTTTTTTCCACAGAAACAGATTATCAGAGAATGTAAACAACACAGGCAATGCAAAGTACACTACTTCATTTTTCAGTTCAGACACAGGCCTAAAGTAAGTAATATTCAAATAACAGAGAAAGGTATTGAATATATTAGTAAGGGAAAACAAAGTCACGTAAGAGCCAGATCCCCCTTTCTCCCCCCAAAGATGACTGTGCATACAGACTCACTGAAGCTTCAAATGAACTTTTCTTGGCTGCACTAATGGTTTCAAAGACCTTACTGCCAGAAAACCTACTACATGGCACTTCTTCACACTTATTTTAAACTCAGAATACCCTCTATTTAACCAAATTCATTACATCTCATCTTTAAGAGGAGAGAAAAAAGCACATTAACATTGTGTCAATGACCACTTCAAAAATTACATCTTACTCTACATTAGGACTTAAATGGCTTAGCTGACAAGAATTTTCTTAGTACAAGGTAAAGACAAAGTCAAAGCTTTGAGATGAACCTTGTCCCTGAAGGTTAGTTGATGTATGGAGAGCTGTTTATGCAAGGTGAAAGACTCCCCTTCTCCTACAGAGTAGCAAGTTAAACTGCTACTCTGAGCTTTCCTAATAGCCAAGAAAAGGCTATTTGTCATGGTTACACCCACTTCCTAATCCAACCTAAAATTAAGAAATATACTAAGAAGAATTTACTGAGATTAACTTATCTATGAAATTGCACCAAACTTCCTTAACAAAGCAGTCTCCTGCCCTAAAAGAGGTGGATTATCAACAAAATATACTTGACACCCAATGCAACAGAAGCTGGATATCTCTTTCTCAAATATTAAAGCCATTAATTATTTACATAGCAAATACTCTATGGAGTTGTTTTTCAAACTGCAGGCCATACCCAATTTTTCTCCCATTAAACTTTTTATATTCAGTTTACAGAGAACAAATTGCTCGGGGGAAAAATTCCGAGTTACCTATCTTCCTAAATAAACTTACCAGAAAAAGCTTAATTACTTCAGTTCATCATAAACAAAAGCTTAGCCTACTATTCATTTCAAAAAATGAATCCCAACACAACTGCAAAATTAAGTATAACCTTGTCCTCTATGAACTCTCTTCAGTGTCACCAGCTCCCTGACATCTGAGTGAAGAAGCCTACACAGCTTCAGCTTATTTGAGAGAGGACTAATAACTACCATCGAGGTACAATATTAACCAGCATCTGTAAAAACACTAGTTAAGAAGTACTTTCAGATGATGAGTAGGCATGCTCAGGAGTCTTCCAATTATTTGTGGTTCTACAGTTCCTTTTTCCTTTTTTCTTTGAAGTGTTTTACCATTCTCTGAGTTGCTGCATGAATAGGAGGGGTAGCAAATTAAACAGAAAACCGAATAAAAGCTGTAGAATAGAATGAGAGAAACTGCACCAAACCACACTGGAAAAAACTGCTTGGAGACTACTTAAGAGGAGAGCAATACTTCAGGAGAGGACGCTTTCCGAACACATTTCACTCTCCTCACACATCTACACTGATAATGTTAAACATAATGTATCAAATACTTGATTATAAAAATTCCAAAGTGTCCTGTGTCCTGAACACACAGGGATTGCACCAATAAATGCCTTGTGCTTTAGGATGCGATTATTCTTTAGATACAGAACACAGATCCATTACTGAAAGCAATCTAATTGATGTTTTACGTACACTAGAGATGAAAGCATATAATGCAGAATTATGATCCCAAAATCATATTTTGAGAAACAATTATCATTCAGAATACAGACAGGAAAAAAAAACCTAACTGACCACTGTCAGGGGCTACTGACCACTGTCTGCAGCAGAGACTCAAAAAAGAGAGGAAAGAAAGATCCTAGAGACATGAGACGTTTCAAGATCCTAACATCTGTGAGTATGTATACAAGAATTTATTAAGCTATCTGGAGCCTAATCTACATTGACAGAATAGTAATAAGCAGCAATGCTACTGATAAAATTGAACTGGCATTTCCAGCACATATGTGTGTGCCTCAACCCTACTTATGAATCATTCTGATTTCACTGCATTACAAGTTCTGATACACAGTTACTGCATTTTTAGGAAAATTATATTTATGAAGTGGAAATTTCTAACTTGCAGATCAGATCAAGGAGCTGCTTGATTTTTCAGAATAAGTCACTACTTAACAGCACTTCTGCAGCTTTCTCCACATATTAATTACCACACATTAGGAAGCTTCCTCTATCAAATAGAAGTCTTAAGAAGTGCTGCTGTGGTAAGAAGGGAAAAAAAGAAATTAAAAAAAAAAACGAGGAAGCATTAGGAAGACTGAAGGGGCATCATATTTTACATCAATAAGTCAAAAGAACAGGTGACATTAAAGAAAAAACAGATGAGCTCTCTCACTCTGAGCAAAGTGTGATAATTACATGTTAAATATTTTCTAAGGGTCTATCAACATCCAAAAAAAAAAAAGAAAATCCACTGGAGTCTTTTCAAGCTCAAAGTCCTACATCTTACTCCAAATCAAAACAGTGCAACCAGTAAAAGATCTCCTAGTACAGCATCACCTCTCAGTTTGTCACTAAAGGAAGATGGTGTATGTCAAATTTGAATGTAGTACTGTAGACAATGCCAATCAATCCCTTAGGAATGCGGAGGCCTCCAAGGAAACAGAATTCTGTAAAATATATTATCAGATTAAGAGGAAAAAAAATACACTCCACACTAAAACACTTCAGATTTTGGACCTATTTTATCTTTATAAGTTTCTTTTCCTCCTCTAAGGACATGGATGAGTTAGCTAGGCCGAAATTTTGGTTTTAAAACAACCTATTTTCCTCACTATACACTCTCAAACCTCATTCAAGAGGCAGCTCAGCAAAGACTGGTCTAGGAGAAGTGACCTAACTACAAACAACTGTGAAGCGAGCTGGACTCTGGCCTACTCTGAAACCTGGTAGGATCAAAACCAGAACAGTATAACCAAAAGCCCATACTTTTTAAGGCTTATAAATATTTAAATAATGTCTACGTCCATTAAATAACATTTATCTGTAGTGTAAAAAATTTAGGTTTCTATCCAGCGATGATTAAAGATATCGATTTACTCACACATAAATTTGAAAGAATTAAAAATTAAGCTTCAGATTTTTTAAGAATCCCTGTATAAAAGAACACAACTAAAATTTACAAGCTACTACACATACCATTAGCAGGTGCTACGGAAGAAATATTTGACAGCCACAAAGAGCTGTCAAATACATGTCAAGCAGCGAAGAAAATTTGGTTCATAGATTCATTTTCTCCCAAGCATTCCAGTTTCTCCCCAGCCTGCAATTTCTCTCCCCCAGTGCTACATAAAGTTGGCTGCGATGTTTTCAGGCAGGCAGCGGTCATTCCCACCTCAGCTAAAGCCGCACAGCACTGCTGATGTGGAGACCGGGCCTGCTTTTGTGCCCAGTCCCGGCCCGTGAGCGGGGCAGGCAGCGCACACCGCGGTGTGTGTGACAGCGCTGCCGCCTTTATCCCCGCTCCCGTCACTCCCTCACACACCGCGATCCCCCGCCCGCATTGTCTGCCTCGCTCCATCCCCGATTAACATGGACACGTTCTCGTTCCTCCGCCAGGGATCCCCGGGAACCTACTTCCTCGGCCACGGATCCCCAGGAACCCCCCTGCCGGGCCAGGGATCCCCGGGATTCCCCAGGCCGGCCGGAGCCCTCGTCGGGCCCACGGCGAAGGTCGCGGCCCCTCAGCCCCGCGGGAGGCGAAGCCGCCGCCGGGAGAGGCCGCTCGGGGCGGGCGGGACGCGCGGGGACCCGGCGGGGGGGCCGGGCCGGCCGCGCTGCCCCCGCCGCCCCGGGGCCCCTCCCCACACCCCCGGGGGGCCCCTCCCCTCCCCTCCGCCCCCCGCCGCCCCTCACCGGTCGTTGAGCTGGTCCTCGGTGCCCGGCAGCGGGTGCACCACGAAGTGGATCGAGGTCATGTTCCGCGCCGGTGCCCTCCCCGGCGACGGCGGCGGGAGGCGGGCGGGCGGGGGCCGGGCACACAATGGGGGCGGCGAGGGAGGGGGCGCTTGGCCTCCGTCCCTCCGCCGGGGTGGTTCGCGGCCGCCCCGGCGGGGTCGCGGGCTCTCGGCGGCCGCGGCGCTGCAGGCGCGGGTCGGGGCGGAACGGCCGCAACGGCGGCGCTCGGAGCTGGGCCCGGCCGCGCTCACGCACGCGCCGCCATCTTGGCTCCAGCGGGCCCTTCCCCCCCCGCCCCTCCCCCGCCCTCCGTGCGCCGCGCCGGGCAGAAGGCGGGGCCTGACCGGCGCGCGGCGGCGGCGCGCGTGCAAGCCCCGCGCTCACTGGCGCGCGCTGCTCCCCCCCCCCGCCACTAAACGCGTCGCCGATTGGCTCGGCGCGGGGGCCTCGCGGCGGGGCGCGGTGACGTCATTGCGCGCGAGGGACGTAAAGCACCACGTGCCTCCCCCTCCCCCCCCCCCGCCCGCAGCGGGTCCCGCGGACGTCGCGCGCCGCTCCCCTGAGGCACCGAGCGGGAGGGGCGCTGGGAAGGAAGGAAGGAAGCGGGGCACGGGTTGTGCTGTGAGGCTGTGCTGGCCCCCGGGGGTACCCTGGGGGGGGGGGGAACAGGGCTTTACCCCGCTACCCGTAGCTGCTCCAAACCTACCGCCCGTCGGTACCTGCGCGCGGGGACTGGCCCTGTCCTTTCCTTTCTACTTGCGTTTATAGTCAGTCCTCCTTGCACAGACGGCATTATTCACCTTCCTTTAGGGAGGTTCACAGAATAGCCGGAGTTGGAAGAGACTTCTGGAGATCATCCAGTCCAACCCCCCTGCCAGGGCAGGGTCACCCAGAGCAGGTGACACAGGAATGCGTCCCGGGGGCTTTGGAATGTCCCCAGAGAGGGAGACTTCACAGCCTCCCTAGGCAGCCTGTTCCAGTGTGCTGCCACCCTCAACGTAAGGAGGCTCTTCCTCATGTTGAGGTGGGACATGCGTTTTAGTTTATGGCCATTGCCCCTCGTCTTATCGTTGGGCTCCGCTGAAAAGAGTCTGGCACCATCCTCTTGGCACCTGCCTGTGAGATCTTTATTGATGGGATCCCCTCTCGGTCATCTCTTCTCTAGGTTAACCACTAGGTTGGTAGTATATCAAAATAAAAAGGTATCTGCCCCCGTGGAGCTCTCAATGCCGCAGTCCTGCGCACCTCCCTCGGGACAGGGTTTAACTGAACTGTTCCAAAAGATCACACCTTGCCGACGGAGCTGCTTTTAACAAATTAACATCTCAATGTGCCGAAGGTTGAGTGGCAAAGTCAATAAAACAGCCATTTGTTTCTATAGAAACTGAACACCTTAGCAGAGATTGTACCAAGCTCTGATTTTGATGGTTTCTTCCACCCCCCACGCCCCCTCACCCCGGAATTTGCTGCTTTTGCAGCCTTCTCTTGCCTGTTTTCAGGAAATCAGAAATTTGGAAAACTGGCTTGGAATTTTTTAGCATGTGAGGAATGCTGGCAATCACATGATAACGGTACCAAAAAACCTCTAGAACCTAGTTCAGTGAGCTAGAATTAATTTCTGATGCTGCATAATCATGCACCCTGAAAATCTCAGTTTGTTCCTCCACTTTCAGATCGTAAGGACCTTTGCAACTCCCCATCTTCCATTCCCCCTTCTCCTAAGATCTTTCTCCAGTACAGCCGAAAGGAGCTAATCCAAGAATCAGCTGATGCAGCTGCTTGCTGCCCAGAGATTTGGGGAGTTTCTGCGGGGTTTTTTTCCAACACGACTATCATTAACATGAGGAAATGTAGTAAGAAAAGAAATATTCAATTGGTGCGTTCCAGATTTCTTGTTCTCAGATGAAGTTTCCCTGTTTGTTCTGTTCTCAAGTGACAGGGATATTGAAATGGCTTCAGGAATACAAATAAGTAATTTAGCTTATCCTGGGACGAAAATCCTAACAGGTTTCTGGAAATACACAAGGCATGAAATGGGACTCATTCTGTTTGGTAATGCAACAGTGCAGTAGCTGTGCTTTTAAAAACTAGTAGGTCCATGAATACCTTTTTTTTTTCTCTGTTAGGACAGAGTTTCTGGATTACTTAGTTCTGAGTCTGGTTGTACCAAAGTTTGTTAGCTTTGCTCTGCTTTTTCCTTCTCCTTTTTTGTTCTCAGCGTCAGTCTTTATGCTTCCCCTGAAAACATGGTGCTTATTGTAGTGAGAGAGTCTTCTAAGTTGTCTTGACCTCAGTCATTTTATCAGAATCACTTGAATGTTTTGATAACCACCTGAAAAGTCTTACTTCTCAGTTCAATTTTTTTTTCCCAGACAAAAAATAGAGGATTTTCCTTTGACAGTCATTCTTCTTTTCCATTGAATAGTAGGAAAACGGGTCACATGAATTCCTGCAGAGCCCTTGAAAATGCTGTCAAGAATTTTTTGTAAGGTTTGGGAAGTTCCAGGTATTTATGTTGGGTTTTGTGTCCAAGATCTAGTTCTCCAAAGCATTTACATTTCCAAATGCTGTAATTTGTGCATTGGAATTCTCTTAGGAGCTGGGCATAAAGAAGAGATTTTCATTACTCACTTCCTTCCAACATTAATACACAAGCTTTAAAACTTAATGGGTTATGGAAACCTCTTAGATACAGGAAGAGAGCTGGGAAGGCCCAAAGAGGGCACACATCTGTTAGACCTCAGCAGTCTGCTGCTGGCATTGCCAGGTAGTCCTTTTCTGTAGTTTTATTTACATTATGTCTGAATCCCAGTTTTAGCCATTGCTTGTGGCTTTGCCAATGCAAACACTCAGCATGAGCAAAAATGAAAAAAAAAATTTAAAATGGATTCCACTGGAACTTGGGTTCAGAGCCAGAATAAACTTGAGTAGTGCAAGTGTCAGCTTTTATTCACACTCAGAGTTTGTATTGCTGTCTAAAATGGCAACTAACCCTAAGCATAGGTGAGAGGACACAAACCCAAGTGCTCAGCTGACGATGTTGTTAGTCTAACAGGACTTTGGAACATGGAAGAAGTTCCAGCACACCATCAGAAGCGCCCATACTTCCCTAACAGGGATGTGAGACTGCATCTTGCTGCTTGACTTTTGGAAGTGGCAGCTCATTGAACGCCTGCCTTGTCTACTGCTGCAGTTCTTGGAAGATAATTTGGCAGGTAACAGCTTGATGGTCCTTTAATTATCTGAAACAGCTCCAAATAGAATTGCTTTCTGATAGCAGAACTGCTCCTTCTTACAACCTGTGTTTTTTAGGAACTTAAAAATAAAAGACTTTTTCTAAGTCCTCTGGATTGTCCCAATCTCTTGGATGACAGCATTTGATACTGTAGTGGTATTTAAAATTCATATTTGCCAAGTCATGAAAATCCCCTCAAGAACCAAACTAGATTTTCTTTCTTTACAAAATGTATCTTTAAGACAACGTTGTTTGTCTTGACCTGAGTAATTTCACCCCCTGCGTTGCACAGTTCTTCGGTGTATAGATGGTGCTATTCTCAGGTCTACTGGTAAAGCAGCACCTTCCTTGTGAAGGTGCAGCTATAAATACACCAACACCCAACCAGCAGAGCAAGTTCCCTGCTGGTATACTTGTCTGTGCGGGAGTTTTTGCCAGCTTGGAAATACCACACAAAATAACTTCTGTGGGATCACTGCTGTCACGTCTGAAATTGAGTTTTGATGAGAGTCAGCATTTCCTGAAGTTTTCAGACTGGTAGAAGTGCATGGATTAGCAGAGACCTCCGGGGGTCATCTCATCCAGCCTCCTGCTCCACAAATGTCCATTTCCAGTAGATCAAGAACTTTCCCATCAGAAACAGCTTGTGAATAATATGCGCTGGGACACCGGGACAGATTTGCTCCTGACTGCTCCCTAAATCCACTTGGCAGCTGCAGGCCTGGTGGATTGCATGGGAATTTGTTAGTCCTGGAGGGAGGAGACCTACTGGAGATGGAAGGATTGGGGTAAGAGGACTGCAAGGGACTTTGCTCTGTAAACAGTGTGAGCAGATGCCGGCAGTTGTACCACAGGCAGCCATGCCTGCGGCTGGTGGGGCGTGGAGAAGTCAGGGAGGAGGCCCTGAGCAGAACTAAAGGCTTCAGGCAGTGAAGGAGAGCTCCAGTATGCACTTTCCAGGCTGTTAATTCCAGATGTCAACAGACATGACATCAGGCTGGCAGCATAAGATTGTATTTTGCTGTGGAAGAAATGAGGCCAACATTTCTGGAAATGTCAGCAAGAATGCTGTGCAGAAAACTATAGCTTCTAGATCGTTCCCAAGGCTGAGAAGAACTATAATGAGCAGCGAAGTACATTGCAAGGTTTCCAGCACCTTGTGCCACAAACTGAAGCAATGCAGGTCCCTCATTCTGCTGCAGTCTTTCCCTTAGCTGCAGTACCAGAAAGAGACTCAGATATTCAGAAGTGATTATGGTGAGCTTTGACACACTTTGACAGGCAGTCTGCAGATACACTTGCATGACTGAAATGCATACACGTGGACTGAAGTACATCTTTTGAAATCAGGCAATACTTCAGCTGCCTGATCTCCCTTCCTCTCTCTTGTCTGAGCTACTCTGCATTTTCTCACCTCAGCTCTGCAGTGAAGGAATCCTGGGCCAGAAATGAGGATTCTGCAAGAAATTGGGCCTACAAGAAAGCCGAAGAGGGTCTTTTTACAAAGGCATGTAGTGATAGGATGTACACTGAGAGAGGTTAGATTTAGATAAGATGTAAGGAAGAAATTATTCACTGTGAAGGTAGTGAGGCACTGGAGCAGGTTGCCCGGAGAAGCTGTGGATGTTTTATCCCTGGAAGTGTTCAAGACCAGGTTGGGTGGGGCTTTGAGCAAACTGGTATAGTGGAAGGTGTCCCTGCCCATGGCAGGGGGATCGGAGCCTGCTGTGATCTTTAAGGTCCCTTATAACACAAAACATTCAATGAATCCGTGATTTGTTTCTCCGTTCTTTACTATACAGTTAGGTTTACTTTTTCCGTTTAGGGAAGTTGGCACAGTATGTCTGGGATTGAGGTGAAGTGTCTGCCGAGTACTTAGTGGAGTTTGTAGATCCACTGGTATCTGGCAGACTGACATTTTGTTTTGTCACATCCCTCGCTTGACTTTGCTCCTCACCTTTGTTGCAGCCCCTTACTTGAGTCCTTCTCTTCCAGCTCCCACAGAGGCACTTATGAACACCTCTTCCTTCTGACTGGGCATCCAGGACATCTCTTCTTGTCCAGTCCCCGCCACAAAGTTCACATGATCACTTTTATGTGCGTACACCAGACCTGTCCACTGACAAATGCAGCTGAGCATGGCAAGAGGAGCTCACCAGCCATCCCGGGCACTGTGCAGGAGCCAAATGTCCTGGGGAGAGAGGCTGTGGGCAGCCACCTTGTGCAACTGTCCCTGTAAGAAGGTGTGAGCAGAGCTGATGTGCACAGTGTACACGGTGAGTGCATGGCTGAGACTTTGTGTCACCTGGGCTGGTGTTCTTGTGCACGCAGCAGAGTTGTAGTGTTTTGCATCAGAGTGGCTTCCTGTCGGTTCCTGGTAAGGAAAGACACAATTTGTTTGAACTTTAGCAACCTAAAAGGTGGGCATGTGTCCCTATCAGGTTGTCTGGGTTCCCTGTGGAATTGCTGCCTCCTTCTTATCTGTCTGCAGGCTGTCAAGGGAGTCCAGATGATTAAGTGGGACGAAAAAAGATTTTTTGTTGTCCTGTTGGTTCCATTTGATTGGGTTAGTTACTCTTGTCTTAACCATATTTACCTTCAAAAGTGGCAGTTTGAAAAAAAAAAGCCTTTATAAATTGTGAGGGTGAAATGCATTCACAGCAATAGTTTTGTATGGCCTTGATTCCTGTACTGCCATCTGGAATTATTGCTGAGTAAATTTGTTTCTGGCAGGGAAAGGAGTGGAGACCTTCCAGGTCAGAAGCAAGTGAATTATTCCATGGTCTCCAGTGGGGCCAGGATTTACCTTTCAGTGTATGTACTTCCAGCGTACTTTTTAACTGCTGTTCCTCTGTCATCAAATAGCCATGTGTCATGGATGGCTATTTATAATACAGAAAGAAATAGTAGATGGCTCTTGCATTTGGCTTTAATTCCCTTTGAAAAAAATACTGAAATTAAAAAATTTCCTGAGGAGTCCAGTGTAGTGCAGAGCAGTTGGTGGTGAGTGTCCAGCCAACCCCCTTTTGAGGGGGGTTGTGTTGGCCAGCTCTAGGTGTGCTCATGGACTGAACACCCACAGCTTCCCTAAAGATCATGCTGCACTTTGGGAGCGCAGGTTTCCTTTTGGTTTCAGCCCAAAGGAGCCCAGGGTGTGTGCTCTCAGGCTGCTCCACAAAGTGAACTGGAGGGTGGTGAGGGGGTGATGAGTTTCAAGCCCAAACTGCTGATTTGAACGGTAGCACAGGCACACAGAGAGAAAACTGAGCTGCTCATGAAAGAGCTCCAAAGCAGCCTCCGTTTACAGCTGGCATTTTAAGCAAACCAGAGGCTGTGTCACTTGAGAAGCGATAAACAGTGGCTGTTCAGGAGAAATCTGGCCTGTGCAGAATGAGTGTACGCAGAGGTTGCAAATTCACCACCCCTTCTGAAATAGTTCCTCCACGTTTCAGCAGTCAGGACTCCCATCATTAGTGTGCAGGCAGGTTTCAGACACCACCCATTCCTTTTAAATGGTGGTCTTTGCTTTCAGGGAAGATTGCACCATTCTGCTAAAAATCTTGTGAGCTTTTTTCTTCTTTGTTTCCCCCCCCCCCTTAAATCACTAAGGACATTCACACTGAACAGGATGGCTGTTTTTCAGCTGTGTTTCCAAGTCCCTGTAGGATATTCCCAAACTGGGAACATAAATGCAGTGGGTCGTCAAAACCAGTACTGGAAGTGATTAAATGTAAGAAAAGTAGATGTTGACTTCGTGTGAAGAGAGGCAGCTCTAACAGCTGGGAGTCCCATGAAATAAGGATTTTTATGGTGATGGAACCTCAGTGCTGAAAGGGAGAAAAAAAAATTGCAATGGGAATAGTGGTCAATAGGAGATGGAGCACAGGGAGACTGTGCTGGGAACTGCTTTGGTAGTTAACATTTAGCTTCATGGAAACTAATGGAGGAAAAAAAATACGAATAGATAGTCTGGGAGGTTTTTTTCCATTGCAGTGTAAGAGAAAAGGGACACAGTTAACTGATGGATGAACATTTTATTGTGAATAACAGCAATTGCAACACTCAGTTGTATATGCCTGCATATGTGTTGGTGAGCATATTTCTACAGATAGGTAGTTAACACAAAACTGCAGGCAGATTGCAAATTCAGAATTACTTGCTACTAACTGAACATACGAGTAGTTTCACTTGCGGTGAATGTTGCCTTCTGCTGTGAACTGACACTAATTATTTAGGCTTAAATGTTTAATACTGTGTATCTGCTTTGTCTGGTTTATAACGGAAGTGTCAATTTTAGCTGTTTGCAAAATGTGAACTTAGAAAAAAGATAGCCTTAAGTCATCTTTGAAACATTTTCTTGAAAACTGTAATGCCACTAGAGTCTGAAGGAGGGCAGTCGGTATATTATCACTTGCAGGGAACTTCAAAGTTCACCTGAATTTGGGTTATGAGCACTGGGCGAAAGAAAAACTGAGCTAAACAAGCCAGGTAGAAACTTGTTAGCATTTGACAGATCTATTCACTCTAAGTAGGATTACTTACACTTGTCCTGTTCCCCATGCAGCTTGTACAAGCTACATTTGCCTAAAGCTTTCCCTGTTGATGCCTTCCCACTGGCAGGGGAGGAGGTGACAAGCCATCCTACCCCTTGGCTGCTCCTCTGGGCAGAGTGCCTGCCAGGCACGTTGCTGGAGGGGAGCTGGCATCGAGTGGGAAATGTCTTCTGATGTCACCTGACTTTTGCGACTACAAAGTGAGGAGCACAAGTGCGTTGGTTTGTGAAGTCCCATTAGAAATGCTGGACATTTTTATGCACAATTTATGGGTCTTTGCCTGAGGAGTGTACAGAAGTTTATAGTATATGAGTTCAGATAGGCTTCAGTCATAACAACAGGCGACTTATCCGTTTGGCTTATTTCCTAGGATTTATTCTGCTGCTCTGATAAGCTATGATTTAAAACATGCTGAAGTGCCAGTGCAGGCTAAGAGCCCCTTCTCCTACACTGAAACACATCACTGAGAGTAGAAGACACTGCGCTTTGTGTCTGTCTCCCAAGGTGAGGGAGAGAACAGCTGAGAGGCATGAGGCTGAGCCCACAAAGAGCACCTCATGGGCGGGAGTGGGAATCAGATCCAGAAAACAGATCCCTTAATTTAGGCATCTAATCTCCCACACTAGTCAGTGGAGACTTAGTTACAGGAGTCAATGGGCTGGGAGCGTGATTCAGCTGATGAAACGTAGCTATCTATCCTCTGGTGAACCGAATCCCTCCTGGCAGTAGGAGGTGGGACACTGAGCTGATACCAGCGTGTCCACACCTCTAGGCACACATCTACGGCCTGGAAGCCCATCACTGGTAAAGATGTGCTGATGAAAGAGATCCAGTCTCCAGCTGCTGCATTGTTTCTCAAAATGAGAGGGGTGGGCTGGAACCCCGTGGCAAAGGCTGGAGCTGCTGAGCCCTCCGGAGGGTCTGAGCATGCGTAGGGCAGCTTCAGGCTCTCGGTGAGGGGTGTGTGAGCACATTAGACCTTAGGTAGGTAGTTAAAATGGCACCAGGAAAGAACACGCAAGGCTCTGCAATAAAGAAACAACATTGCTCTGTTAAAATTATTCTTACAAACTCAATTGACCAGTTCAGACAAATGGACTTAAACGAGCCTTCTTAGGATACGAAACATTAGTATCTACCACTTATATTTGAAGCTATGTTTTAGATTTTATTTTCCAGACAAAAGAGTAATTTAAAATTATGCAAATGAGCTGCCAAAGCAAGGCATTATGCAGATTTGTGGAGGCAGGCAGCAGTGTTAACCCTTGGTGCTGCAGCTCGCTGTGGAGGGAGTGCTGCTGCATTGGCTCTGCGTGAATTCCTCCTGAGTTCAGTGCTCCTGAGTCGGGGTCTGAAGTGTGAGACTCACCCTCCTGCACATACCCATTGCCAAGTGTATTGTATTTGCTGCGGTGTTCACCTCACAGCCCTGCCTGGCACAAACTGTACCCAAATCCAGCCTGGACATCTCAGAAAAGACAAGCTTCGTGACTGTTGTCCACAGTGTCATACAGTTTGTTTCCAGAGTATTTGAAGTGACTGTCATGGGGGAAATATTAAATTACTTTTCAAATGTCAGCTGTGCAGTAACACTTTATAAACAATTGACGCTGTCAGCTAGAAGTCCTCTAGCTTGCTGGGCTGGCTGGTGTACACAAGATGCAGTAGCATCTTGTGGAGAGGAAGGCTATCAAAAGAACTCCATGTTGTGCTAATTTGAGCGTTCAATAGCTTGTTATCCCACCCAGTGATAAAGGTGGAGGGAATAACTCTTCAGCCAGGAACAGATGGGTTTTGGTAGAAATCCAGGGTCTGATCTGCTCTGGAAGTTTGCCCTGATCTCTGCAACCAATGCCAACAGCTGACATAGCCACACTGTCAGCACTAGTGCTGAGCAAGAAATCCAATATTTTATAGCAGTGGAAATGCAAATGGTAGGAGCAGGCAAATCCCCAACATGCTATGAGGGTGTAAGAGCAGATAATCTCTAAGGGAGGTGCGTGATGCTGGGTTAAAATAGTGGCAGCCAAGCCTGGGAAGAGAGGGAGAGAGTTCACGTTGGGTGGTTTGTGCCTCAGTCATGCCCGTGTGGGAAGTCAAGCCGTGTGAATATGGGGTTTGTTCAGTGTCAGGCAGAAATGGATCCTGAGGGCAGGAAGGACTCTGGCTGCAGCATGGAGGGACTTGAATCCACATTTCCTCCTGTACTTCAGTTCATAGAATAGAACAATACAATCACAGTTGTTCGTGGCTCTCTATGAGAGACCTCACAGAGCAGTGCAGGTTCCAAGGAAAACACCAAGGCACTTGGCATTTGCTTTCCAGTTGCTAAATGTGTGTGTGTGTGATTTTTTTTTCCCCATCTTCGAAGAAATATGTATTTGTGTAGTGAACTACTTTAGTAACAAACAATGTCTCAGTGCTGCTCTAGGAGATGGAGGTAATCCAGGTTTGTCTCTTGCACCTCTTACACCCAAACCCTTTACAGTTTTCTTCACTCACCAAATTACTCCCTCACTTTCTAGTTAAGGGTGTTATTTCAGGCTTCTTGTCAGAAGCTGCCTGTCTGAGCCAGTACACAATACTGAATAAACGCTTCAGTGTGTTCAAACATGGACACTACCAGTGAATTTACAGACTTAAAACCTATGGCCATTTTTAAAATGGATACATGTGTGCGCGCACAAAGGTTAGCTCTGTTTAGCTGCTTTGGTTTTGCATGTTCTTAAGAGCATTTTTGGCTCAAAAATGTGATGTTTCTCATGTATTTGGAAAGACTTGTCCAAAGCACATGATTAACATCTGTTGGTTTCGATGTGGCAGAGGAGCACAAAACACTGCTGCTGTTTATATTTGATTTTAAATATGGATTTGGAGTTTTACTATTGCTCAGCAATTTGAGAAATGGACTGGTGGTCTCGTTAGTAAAAAAAAGCAAGAAACCCACCTACATTGGCTCAGGTTTTTGTTAATTTTGAAGGAAATAGCTGAAAAGGATATAAATCAGATGCTGCTGCTGTACTGCGCATGCCTGGCCAGCTTAAAAGAACTAAACTAGTTTAAATAGGCAGAAATACTGTTCTATGATGGCCCGCATCTCAAAACAAATTTGAGCACAAAGACCACGGAAGGAAGTTGCTAGGAAACCTCTACAGTGCGCTGGAGAAGTTTTGCAGCGCAGGCACCTGTAAGAGAGTCATCACCACCTGCCAGCCTGGGCATTTCCTAAAAACTGGGGTGTAAAATTGTAGACCACATCGATTTCTATAAATGCAGCATCAGGAAATGCCTTACAGCTCATTTTAAATCAGTGTGGCTCCAGGGGACTGTAAACTATTCCCAGAACCATCCCTGAAGGCTTGAGACTAAGGTCCTGTCTACAATAACACTGAAGCTCTGACTTCTGTGATCAGGCAAGGTCTCCCCAGGCTGCTTTGCTAGCACATGCCTGCACTCATCCTATTTATGTTCTTAGCAAAGATCTTAGCTTTTGTGGGCTCCAACTTTGCCCATACTGAGATTGCAATAAGGTAACTGTAAACCAGACTAACCCCCTGGAGGCTGCTGTGTCTCTTCTCTTTTGCACGGAGTCTCAGGGTGGTTTTGCCAGCAGAGATTTCCTGCAGGCATGCAGGAAACCCACCTTAGGTAGGTTCTCTGTGGGGGGATGCTCCAGAAAGTTGAAGTGCATCAGTCAAAAATGTTACAGCTGCAGGTCCACAGTGTCAACGTGCACATATTAAAGCCCCAATTTCTGTACCAAGTAGTTGTAATTGTGATGATGTCTTAATCCTCTTAACACACGATTTCTTTACTATGGCTACTTCATAGCTGAACCTTTTAAGCCCGTTTCTATGAGGAAACTGGTAGCTGAAAGATTGGGGAATCACCAAGGACATGTTTTTCTTCCATCATGAAGTCATCTGTCAGTGCTGCTCATGACTGGGATAAGACAGGTAATGACTATCAGGTGTTGCTAGGATTGCTTGTCTGCACACTTCCTTAGTAGCTTTTTCCAAAAATGGGCAATGTGAGGCACGGGGATGGAGGAGTGGCTGCCATGAGCACAATGAACAGAACATGGTTTAAGAGTGTCCATGAAATTCCCTTTGGGTAGGAACCCCCTGAAGGTGTGTCACCAGCAAATTTCTGCTGCCACCACTCCTCCCTGTTACACAGCACATTGCCCACTCCTCTCTGCCCACCTGACCCATCACTGCTAAAAGCCATTAGCACTCCAGAGGATGGACAATGGGATCTTCCATCCTTCAAAGATAAGCAATAAATGAAGAGAAACCAGGAATACCTGTTAAGCCTGAGGATGCTTCTTTAAAGAAAGATTCCTTTTAAAACAAAGGGATTCATTCCACAACAAAGAAGGCACTCCAGAGAAGGTGTGATGTTGATATGCAGTGCTGATAACATGAAATGTGGCTCCAACAGGATTTTCCATTCTGGTTTATCTAGTCCCTTGACACATAAAAAAGGCAGGATCCAGATCTTCAGTTTAACTTAAAAAATCCCAAACCTCTTAGGAAATTCTTTTTTACACAACATATAATTAATGTATGGAATCAGCACTGGTTATTCCTGACAGGTTTAGACTAGTTCTGCACTTGATGGTCTAGCAGTGTTTGTGATCCCTGGCCCTGTGAGATGCTGTGGGAGGAAGGGCTCCAAAACAGTCAGTAATGGCAGGAACTCAGTTGTTAATTTAAAGAAAAGCCCTCTCCTCCAGTATAGTTTCTGGAGCAAGAAAACTGTGCAAGAGCTATGGCAACATCTGGAGCTTTCCTGGTTTGGAACAGGTTTTCTGTGTTTCAGAAAGGATTACACACAAGGACAGAAAGCATTTTCAGTGGTGTTGCTGGAGTAAGGTCACATTCAAAGACTCTCATATCCCATGCTTTGTGACTCAGAAAACAGCACCCACCTCACATGCTTTTATAGTGGTGATGCCCACACCTGAGCGAGTTCCCTGCACCTTCCTTATGGCAACTGGGGAGAAACGGGGATCCAGCTGTACAGCTGCTGATGGGAATAGCCATGCCCTGGGAGCACCTCTCTCCTTCGGTGGCTGCAGAGAAAATTTAGAGGGGAGTGGATGTGTTTGCTGTAGAGGTTTGAAGAGAGTGAAGCCCATCAAGGCACCTGCTGGCTGCAGCTGGGGAACATCTGCCTGACCCTGCTCTGAAGGCAGTGCCACCCCAGGTGGGGATGCTGGGAGGCTTACGGGTCCCACTTGGTGTTGGGTGATGGAAGGAGTTGCCTCTTGCAGTTCTCCATCCTGCCCCTTTGGTAGACATAGTTGCCCCAAAGCAAGGATGTGCTCCTCCTGTAAATCATCTCCTCACCCACAGACGTTAACATGTCACTACATGTCTGTTGGTCCCTGCACTCACCACAGCCATGGATGTGGTGACATGACACTGATGCAGAGCAGAGCAGGGCCCAGGCAGAGCAGCTGAGTAGTGAGGACAAACAGGAAAGGCAAGTTCAAAGGCAGGTGTGACACAAAGGAAAAAGTGATGTTAGTAACACCAAGCCAGCAGCAATAGCAGCTGCTGCACATGGCAGGCGCAGCCCCGTGCGGCCCGCTCGTGTCCGCTGGACATCACATCAGGATATGCCATGGCAGCACCATATCTCCAGCTGGAAATGAGAAAGGGTCTTCCCCAAAGCAACCAGCACAAGCAGGACTGTTAGAGGCAGGATGCCAGAGTAAACCTAAGCCTTGCTCATGGCCACAACATCCATGTGCCTCTCCCAAAGCAGCAGCCCTCACGGACCTGAGCCCGGGAGGTACAAAAGCACCTGCCTGATGCATGTGGGCCATCTCAGTGATCAATGCTTCTGAAACAGGGGGTGATCATTACAGTTCATCAAAACACAGGCTTAATTTTAAACTCCTCAGTAATACCAGAAGTTGCTGTCTGACCCTGTCTCACACCCTCACAGTGCTGCCAAAGGAGGAGGGAAAGAATTGCAAATTTACACGGTGGCATATGGAGCGATTCAGAGTTCATCCAAAATGAAGATGATGAGAACAACATTTTTGTCAGGTCTTTGATCCCTTTCAAAAATACAACCCTCTGGATGTGTTTAGAGAGGGCTCATGCTGTGTGCTGGGGTTTTCGTAATCACTGCTGACTAGAAGTGCCTGTCATCTGATTTGTGCATTTTTCCAATCTGTTTTATAGTACAATCAAATTACTGTTCCCACATCGTAAGAGATGCTTCACAAGTTTCTTGGGAGAGGACGACAAGTTCCAAGGCTAAGGTTTTTGTCCTCTAGAAAAAGAACTTTTCCATTTTTCCTTCCTAAACCATTTAAGTTGATAATTACCCACAGAGGCTGAAAATCGATTCAAACAAATCTTGGCTCTTCTCCAGGTATTCCCCAAAACTGGAAGCCAGCAATTCAAAAGAGATAAAAATAGAATGAAAGAAAAATCCATAAATTGAGGAACTTCATATTTCACAATACTTAAGTGGTGAAAACATTTCTTGTATAGTGGCATGTCAGGATGTACCTGATGCTTAGAGGTATTTCCAGGTAGAGGTTCAAATCCCTGTGACTGGCCCTAAACCACTGCAGGAACAAGATAACAGAAGCCCTTTGATTTTAGCCACCAAGTTATTTACATCTGCTCTGAGGACACTGTAAATAACACCTTTGAGGCCCTAGGATAAACTCACTGAAGAATATAAGGCTGCCACAGCTCCTGTTTCACCACGCTTAGTGCCGTGAGGTGGGACCTGTAAGCTGCACAGCTCATCCTTCTAGGCCAGTGCTATGGCTGCACTTTGCCAGGGAGACCCTCATTGCAATCAAGAAGTGCTCATCCTTCTTTAAACAGGAAAGAACGCAAAGGAAGGCAAAATTAGGGTTGGTGTTTTCTTGTCATTCCCAGAGCCTGTGCCTTGTTCCATCTGTGTGGAGAGAAGCTGTCACGGAAATGATGGGAGGCTGGCAAAGAGACCTGACTGCCAAAGGAAGACACTGTTAGTAGCCTGGAGTGTGCAGCCGATGTTGAAGAGTGGTATAAATTTAATTGGTAACTCATTTCTTATTAAAACTGACAGATTTTTTTCTTCCTAGCAGAACAGACAAGAGTGGAAAGGTTTCACATAATCACTGATTTCACTGAAACTTGACAGCATTATCAAGCCCTTTAAATCTTTTTCAATTTTATATGAATCCCATAAAATATCAAAACACCAGCATGTAAACAAAGGACTTCAATAAGCTTTGTTTGGTATTTCTATTGTATTCCAATTTGGAATGAAAGGAGATGTGAAATAATCAACTTTCCCAAGAAAATGTGATATCTGAAACTGTCAAGGAGTCCAGTGACCCCTGCTGATGGACAAGTCACCTCCTGAAAAGTATCCTCCTGCTGCAACAAATCCAGCACACCTGCCACAAAGGGAATTCTTGTTCACATCCTATCGGATGCTCGGGGTCACCCTCCAGGGTGGCAGCTCCAATTGCTAATACTGTGTTTTGGAGAGGTACTTTCTGAAGCACACTTATGGAAATGTAGCGGTCTTCACTGATGCTTGAGTAACACAGGCACATCTCTGACAAGTGGGTAGGCCTTAGCTTCATCCTGCAGAAGAGAAAACAAAAGACACATGCAAACTCTTTTCTGCTGAAGAGAACATGGATACTGGAGAAATGAGAGTTCTCATTTAAAAAGTTCTCTCTCACACTGCACTAGCACATTGATTTCTACTCCTGCAGCAAAGCTGGGTTTCATTTGTAGGGGACTGACCTGGACAGAAGCAGATGTCAGACTGAAAACTAACAACATCAAATGCACTTTTTCATACCAAACAACATTTTGTTTATTTACACTTGAGTGGACAAGATACCTGCAACAAAAGAACAAGACCCAGCAAATACACTACATACTGAACTGCACAGGCACCAGTGGCTTTTGGTACTTGTTCTCAGATGGGGGTTTGTACCCCGCGGGTGTTGTGCACAGCTGGATAATACCCACCTCTCCCATTCGTCCACCTGAGAGCTGGAAAGCACAGTCTTCAGCTGCTCCACAATTTACATCTCTTCTGAGTGCTCAGTTTGCTGAGCTATTTGAACTAAATGGGAGCAGTAGGAATACAGTAATGTTGGCTGAAAACAAAAGCTGAAGCAAGGGGATTTTCAGAGCAGCTTTAGTGCCTGAAAACTGCTGCAATCCTGTTTGTGCTAGGTGATGTGGAGTCCTGTAAATGACTGGTTGTGACAGAGAGAAAAAAAAATCAATTCATCAGCAGGCCGTTCTCTTTAAGCATTGCAACAGCTTTCAGATACTACCTTTGGGAAGAGTGGATTGGCTTGATGGAGGGAGTGAGGAGCTCTGCCATAGCATCACCCCCTCCAAATGTGCATGATAGCAAGCAGCCGCTGCGAGTGTATCTTCCAAGTGGTCTGCACAGCCCCACTAGTGTGAGAGCAATGGCAGGGGGCACAGCCAGGCCAGGCCCCCCACATCACAGGGGCAATGAGCAGGCAAAAAGCCAGATCTAGCAGGGAGAATTTGGAACATTTTGGGGTTAGAAGAGGCTCAAGAAAGGGCAAGCTTGATGAATGAACACAACTGACATGACATGGAAGGCACACCATGGGCTCTTGCTCTCCAAGGCGTGATGCTGCAGGATGTTTTGGTCAAGATCCTGTGTACTTATGGGATAAAGCATCTTTAGCAACAATGCTAAGTACCATGGCGCCCTGAAATGTGCTGGCAAAAGACCTGTCACTGCTTTAATTGTATTCAAACATGCAGAGTTAGAGTGAATAATACCATGAGCAGGTAAGGAATTGATTAACTAGTTTGCTATGAAAAGGAAGGGTGACACTCATTTTCTTCTACCTGGACTGTTTAGACAAACCTTGTTATGAAGAAGGACATTTGTTCATTTAGGTGTAAGAAAGCATAGTCCTGCCTCTCAGATCCTCGCCACTATGTGCCAGTGGGAGAGCAGGAGTGGAAGAGAGCCCAGGATGATGAAGGAAAACAAGGAAAAGACAACTTTTTAAAAGTTGACTAGGCATCAGTGTGTCTGAACAGCAGTGTGAGGAGTCAGTGCAAAACATTCAATGAATCATTTAAATTTGCACTGGAGGAATTCAATCGCTCCATTATGAATTTCAAGTGGAGAAAGGATTCCTTGAAGAAATACATAAAAAGCAGTTATTGATATAACACGAATATTTTTTCCCATGAAGGTTAAAGAGTGTTAAATATGTCAGTAAAACCAAGAGAACATCAAAGGATATCTCATTTGCATAAACAGTGTGTTGGCAATCCAGAAATACCATTTCCAGGAGTTATTCCTCAGGTTTGTATGGGAAGTCAGTGCTGCTCCAAGGAGCAGGAGGCTGAGCTGGAGCCTTTCGCCCTAGGTCTGCTCTAAGGCTTTCAGCAATACTTGGCTGGACACCTAGGTGCACAGTTACATGGCTAATTACTTCTGTTCCATATGGAAATTAGGAGAGGGGAAAATGATCGTTATTATCCATATTGGTTACCTGATTGCAGTGTGTGGCTGAAGTGCTCTGTGTGCAATTGCACTCTCATCATTTAAACAGCATCTGGCTGGTCCAAACTGGGCTTAAAGTGATATCCTTACACCCCACTTAAGAAGGCATTTGGAGTGTTAAGAGATTCTGGATGATACCTGTAAATCAGTACATCAGACATTGTCAAAACTTGACAGGTCTGAAAATATATTGACCAAACTCTGAATTGATCAGTTCTTGCTGAACTTGATCTGTTCTTGCTCAAAAGAAATCAAGAGATTTCTTTGAAAGAAATGGTCAATTTTGAAAGAATGGTCAATTCAGTCATTATGTCTGAAAGGACAATGAAGGCCGCAGTGCTCCAGCCCTGGGAGTTAGATTTCGGGGTTTTGGGGTTGGGTTTTTTGGTTGTGGGGGGCTCTGGAGGGAGTGTTTTTTGTTTTGGGTTGTTTTTTCATGTTTCAGATCATTTGGAGTATCCTAAAGCCCATCTCTATGGACTCCCCTGACAAGGCAGATTCTGAGCAGACAGCTCCCTGGCTCTGCACCGTGGGCAAGAAGAGGCAGTCACACCTGACATAAGCAGTGAAGGACATCTTCTAGTTTCCATCTCTTCATTCTGCTTTTACATTTTAGGAGATTCTCAGCTTCATGGGTTTTGAGAAGACCTTGACAACCACGGATGCTAAAGGGATCAGAAACAATGAGCCAAAGAATCTATACTGTGTTTAACTTGTCTGTGTTGGGATGTTGCCTTTAAGGTCACTGGGGGAGTAGTTTCAAGACAACCTGAGACTGACAAGGACTGGATCAGAGATGGATGCTGTAGTATATGCAGTCCTTCATCCTCCTCCTCATGCCAGGTTAGAGCTGACTGTGCAGGATCCTTAGGAGTGCAGCAGACTTGAAGCAGTAGGATTTCCTATTCCATTGATAAGTAAAGAACATTTCAAAACAGTTCTTGCAAGTTAGGCTTATTAGTGGAGTCACTTCCTTGACAGCCCCAAATTTGTTTCATTGCCTGATCTTACTAGAAGTCAAAATTCACCTTGACTTCTCAGGGCAAGGACCTGATTAAGCTGAAGCCTTCATCATACCACAGTGGTTTTACCCTGCTGATTCTCCATGTCCCAGTAATATGGAGCATCCACGCATCAGCATGTCACCAGCAATTCCACATTGCATTTACGGCACCGGCTGACTTGCAGTGAAGGAGAACCACTAAGAGATCCTCTTTGCCTGAGGGAGTACTGGAACTATCCCACTGGCAGCTGGAGTAACACTATGGCAGAAGTCCCTCCTTCCCCTAGGGAAATGGAGCTGAGTTGGTTCTTGAAATGACGGACAGCATACCTTCAAGGTGGAGTTGATCTGTACTCAAAACGATTCCCATTCATCCACATACCTCCTCAGAAGTGTTTGGTGCCTCTTTCAAGTGGGGCCAGCTAGTCAGACCCACAGAGACGTGAGTGCCACTTCCCCATGCCTGAGAAGTCCCCAGCTCCACAGCGGTGACGTTGGCCAAGTCACCTGCACGAGGTTGGTTACTCCTCCAGTGTGTGTCCATAATTACCTCTCCATGCCCAGAAGGGCAGGCAAGCTCTCCCACAGCTCACAGGAAATAATTACAGAGCAGCTCATCTTCCTGCAGCATGAAGCTCTTCCTGTTACATCCCAGAGGCACCAGCAACATTACTCATAGTGGGTGATGTTTCCCAGCATGATTCTCTCACCCCGGGTCAGCCATCCAGCCCACTCCCACCTGGGGCTAGTCAAGCCCAGGACAGCACATTGATGCAGGGGAGCTGGGGAAGAAGGGGAGTAGAGAACATGGCTCTGGCTGTGGGAAGCAGCCTATCAAGAAATGCTTGTTTAATGCACAGCAGATTAGCCTGCCTCAGGAATGAACTGTTTCTGTAAATCAAATGGCTTCTCATGAGTCAGGAGCCCAACCCTTTATTACAGCATTGCATATTTTCAGAAACGGATGAAAAAGTAGCAGGCATTTTGGAGAAGCTGTTTCACACTGCTGTGGGTCTACTTCCAATTTATTTGGCTGGTTGCTGTGCCACATTCACAGCTCCCCAGCTTCACATGTGGAGTAGCTGGAGGTGGTGCAGCATGGTGCTGCCATGGAAGAGGTACCCTCCCATCCTGATCCTTCCTTGATAAAGGAGTTAAAGGCAAAGGCAGGTGACTTCTTGGGCCAGCTTTGCTGAAGAGATGCCTTCTTAGCAGCTCCACCTGCAGTACTCCTCATTCTCCTGATCTGGAGGTGCCTTGAGTCTCCCTTGTTTTCTACAGGAGTGAATGTTGGTCTCTGGTGGAGACCCAGCAGCCTCAGAAAGTCTTTTTACCTGCTTATGGTGGTGCCTTAAGGCACAATACCTGCCTTCAGGAAGTGGGCCTCACAGCCATGGCAGAGAGCGAGCTTGTGTGTCATTGTGTGTTGTCCTTGTCTGGTGATATATGGTGGTAGCTGAGGGACTACCCTCACCCCATAGGTAGGCTGGAAGAAGCTGGGAAGTGGGACCCTCATTCTTCACTTCCCTATAGCTCTGCTTTGTGGAGAGAGGTGACTCCCCACCATCACTGATGGAGTCTGTGGCCACCATGTCTCTCACAAGGCACCATACAGGCTATTTTTGTTTGGGTAGTTTAGCACAACAAGCACTGTGGAGAGTGGAGTGGAGTAGCCCATAGCCTGGAGGCTCGGGAAGACCCTGTGTCCCTGCAAGCTGATGCACTCTCAATGATGAGCCCAGAGTGTGGGCCTAGCAGGCTTTTCAGGGCTGGGAAAGTCTGAATGAGTACTGAGTTGTTTAAAATAGCTTTAGCTGCCTCATCAGTCATCTACTCTCAGTGACGTTGCAGACGATACCAAGTATACCATGATCTTTTCAGAAAGAAGCAAGACTATGAGAGAAGGCTGGGAGAAAAGGCAGAGAGAAAATAGAGTGTGGCAAGACAGACATTCTGGATTGTTTGAAGTGTGTAGCCAAAACCTGAAGTCAGTTTATGGATCATCTGTGTACCTCTCTCCCACCAACTGAGCTATGTCAAGCCTGGGCTCGAAAGGATTCACCAGCACAGAGGGGCCCAGGCGGTTGCTTTGGCATCTCTAAGGAAAAAACTTGCTCCATCCAACCTGTCACTGCTGTGGTATCAATATCAGGCCAGACATTTTTCCCCCAAAGAGTGATGGGTGATAAACCTTGTCTTTATCCACCTGAGCAAGTCTGTCACTTCCCCACCTGTCCCCCATTTCTCTCACTGTAAAAGGAGCAGGTAACATCAGTAATTCAGGGATTTTTATTGTTAACATTTGTTGGTTTTTGTGTACCAGGCTGAGGGGGGATCTGAGTTCTCAAAACCTTTAAGACCATGGGTTTCTGTGTAATGCCAGCACCCAAAGGGAGTGAAAGCCTGGAAAGGGATACCAGACAATCCATCCACTGCCATTGTTTGCCAAGAGAACCAAATCAGTCTTTCCCCTCTGAATGCTTTTGAGCTCTATTTCCTAAGAATGACATCCACAGATGTCCTCTGTGGGGGCACTACTGGAAATGATCATGTAGGGCTGAGAATGCTGAAACTAAATTTGTAATACTCAGCTGCTGTAATCTGCAAACAGTGCTAAGTGCTAGAAAGAGGCAGCAGCCGCCCTGCAAAGCTGTTTTCAAGTACATATGATCAAGAGAGTCACTTGTCAGCCACAGCAAGTGCCCACTTCTGCTCAGACTCCAGGAAGTCATGAGGGTGATCACCATGCAGATCTTTACAGAAATACCATAAAACATGAGATGAAAAATAACTATTGAGTTGTCTAGTCTAGCCACTTATCCATCCCTTATAAGTACAAAGTGAATGATTGGCACCAGAAGACCAAAGGTTTAAAGTAGGGGTGTTTAACTAAAAACAGCAATAAAGGTATGAAGAAAGCAACTCTGCTAGCTGCTAGCATACAATTCTGGCTTAGCTGCTGCAGTAACAGGAAACAAGGCTACAAATTACTTTCATAGCTCTGTATTTCCATTTGGTTTAAAAACTACAGCCCAGTTTTCAGAAAAAATACATTACAAAACTCATTACAAAAATGAGGTTTTATTATTTTTAAGCACTGATTGCAAATATAAGTGCAGGTATGCAGCTGGTGTGAAAGGGCCCCCCGGGGATGAACAGCTCCACACAGAAGTGTTTTGGGAAGGCTCTGTAAACAGGTGTTGCTACCCCTGGGTTCACTGATTCCACAGAGGGCACTCACTGACACAGTGTTTCATCCTGCAGGATTTTCTGGGAGGTTTTGGGACATAGTAAGATAAGGCAAAGCCCGTGCTGTTCCCAACACATGGCAATGCACACCAGGAGCACTACTGGATGCCGTGCTTCTGCCTGTGATGATGGGATGGGAAACAGGGCAGAGGAGAAGAGCAGCAGTTTGGCAGATATCTGTTTGATTGATACGTGTCCACAGACACCTAGTTATCCTATGTAAGATGTGTGGTGACACCCTCCAAGGTTATTTTGCCTGCAGGTCCCTCTGCTCAGTGCTCTGCTTGTGGGTCATGCTGATGATCTCCAGGTCTGGGAACAGTCTCCCTGGGTGCGAATGCCTGCAGGGAAAAGCTCTCATCCCCTAGTATAAAGATGCAACCCAAAGGAGTCAGCACCCTATGGGCACCACTGCCTGCAGACCTTTCTCAGTCTCCTGAGGTGCTCGTGGTGAATCCTCAACCCCCCCAGTTTCGCGTGTCAGGAAGGTTTAACTTCAAATTATTTTCAAGCTGTTGTTTTCCCTGCAGAAATTTTGCGTTGCTACACATCCTTGTGTTCAGCATCTTTGCTTTGTAGTGGCTCTCGTGGTCCGTACTCTGTCAGGATGCTCAGTTCGAGTGGTTTTCTCCAGACCTCATCTCTTCAGATGAGGCAAACAAAACTCCCTCTGGGAAATAAAGGGTTCAGATTCACCAGGCAAGAGAGACCTCCTAAAGGACTCTTTCATGTATAGCCAAAGAAACTAGAGAGTGTCAGATTTCAAAGGCAAAACACTGCCATCAGAAAGGTGTACAGGCTCCATACAGAATGGACCCTTCACAACTTGGCAGCCTTTGAATTCAGCTTTTAAATAAAATCACTGAAAAAGTGATGCAAAAGTAATAACACATAAGGAAAGGGGATTTTTTTATGGATGAAACTACCTTTCAATATAAAATAAGCTGTCTCTTTTGATTTAATGATAAGTCAAACTCATATTTTGTCTTGGGAAAATAACACATCATCCAGCTCACCACTGGGTAGATGCCTGAGAGACGAGGGTGTTGGTTCTGCTGAGGCTTGGATTAGCTTCTGTATCACTGGCAGATATGGAGGGAATACGGTTCATGTCTTGGGCTCCAGCACTTCATCAGAGATGATGGGGTGGAAAGCTGATGGTGAATGTAATTCCTGGGAATTGTGGACAGCCACACCGAAGCAACATTGTGCATGAAACCACATCCAAGTTATGCTCCCATGGCCTGTGGCTCTGCTGCCTGGCCACTGTGCACATACCCCCACTGTGCCCCAACCCCCCGGGGTGTGTCCCTGGGCTCCCCTGGTCCATCAGGGGAGTGGCAGCAGCAGGTGTGCACTGACTGGGCTGCAGTTCCCATGGCGACTGTGGAACTGTGACCCTTGATGTCATAAGGTGCCTGCTGGAAGGCTGCAGGAGCACCTGTGGCTCTGCTCACACGCTCTCCACCAAATGAAAGTCTCGAGGCACCTGAGTTCATTCATGCCCTGACACACTTTGCAGCGTGGCAATGTCGGCGCGCGGTTGCTTTCCGGAAGACACCAGCCAGCACCTGAGGCGGATACAGCGGCAGGTGAGGCTGCTGGACCTGCGCCTGCAGCTGCTCCGTGAGAAGCTGCTTGCAGCCCGCCTGCAGAGGATGATGACCTGTCACCGCTGCTGCCTGCAACTGCCTGAACCCCGGCCCCCGGCAAGAAGAGCCCTCCCCGCAAGGCTGGATGTGGAGCGACGAATCAACAGGTAACAGTTGCCTGCTTTCTACAAGCATCAGCACCCTTTAAGGTAGGATAAGGGAAGTTTGGCATTGCTATCAGGAGCAAAGGTTGAAACAGATAAGTGGGATGGGAGAGAAATAGCCATTTTGGAGAAGTAAGTTGGAAGGGGAATAGGAAGGTAAAGGCTATCCTCTTCTTTTAATTCCAGAATACAAAGATTTAGCAGGACATTGAATTCGTCTCATAGTCAGTGTCATTTGGCTTTGATCGACATGAAGGATTTTGAGCCCAGGGATGTCAGTGTGGAGGTGAAGGATGGGAAGGTGACGGTGTTAGCAGAGCACAGGGAGGAGCGCAACACCCCAGTGTTAAAGACATGTAACTACAGAAAATTCATGAAGGAGTTCAACCTGCCACCAGGGGTGAGCGACGACGAGGTGACCTACTCTCTGGAATCCAACAGCGTCATGAAGATTGAAACGGCACCCAAGGGCTGCCCTCAGCTCCAGGACTACTGAGCTGAACCCAGGCACAGTCATTCCTCTGCCACATCCCTTCTACCCACCAGCTTTAAGTCTGTCCTGCTAACTGTGTGCTAACAACTTCTCTCACCTCTTCCAAAAAAGAAGACAGCACTCTGAGCAGATGTGTGTGAGCCTCATTTGAAGGGGTTTGGTGGGCAAACATAGGGGTGCCAGAAGGGAAACATGAAGATGTTTTTGGATATACGTGGCTGTGGTCACTTGCTGGGCACTGAAGGCAGGGCTGGAGGTGGTAGGTTTAGGGCTTACAATCTCATGGATTTTAAAGGCTGAGAGGCACCACCTATGGTCAGTCACATTTCTGTAAGGACACTTCTCTCAGTCCAACCTCTTCCATTTGAGCTGCAGGGTGTTTCTAGAAAGAAAACCTTGATGATAAACACATTGAGGAGAGAAGCCTTCTCCCAAAAAAAACCGAATTGTGCTCTTTGTCCCCTTGGTTTCGTTCTTGCAGGGACTGCCTGGCTGGAAAATAACAGCTGATAATAAATTTTAAGCTTTATGGGCTTAGTGTGTAGCTGGATCAGTAGAGAACCATACAACCATGGAATGATTTTGGTTGGAAGGGACTTTTTGAAGGTCATTTACTCTAGCCTCCCCCCCCTCTTCATGAGCGGGAACATCTTTCACTAGAGCAGTTTGCTCAAAGCCCCATCCAACCTGGCCTCTGGGCAACCTGTTACAATGTCTCATCACCCTCAATATAAAAAAATCCTTCCTTATGTCCAATTTAAATCTACCCTTTTTCAGTTTAAACCCCCTTGTCCTGTCACTACAGGCCTTGGTATAAAGTCTCTCTCTTTCTTATATGCTTGCTTTATATACTGAGCGGCTGCCCATGCACAGGTAACCTGATTCTGCTGATGTTGACCAAGGATGTTTAGACCTAACACACCTCACCAGGGAGGCTGCAAGGGAGACTCCTGTGAGAGCAGGTGGTAGGGATGGGGACTGGGGCGCTGCAGAAGACTGTCTTCCTACAAAGCAACCCACTGAGTAATAAAACTGAACCCCTTTTGGGATACGGTCTTCGCACTTTGTAATGATTTCTACAGAAGCTGTCTAAGTGTGCAGAAGGGAAACGTATTTCAACACCTCTCCTTTACCCATGATTTGCAGAATGTATCAAGTGCCACAGCAATCACAGGGCTAGCTGTGACTGCTCCTATCTTTATAGCTTATCCTTTAACACATGCTCATCATACTTGTCCCTAAATTTGGCTTCTTAGGCTCCTAACACCAAATTACACTCCTGAGCACTTACTGACAGATGTGACTTTCTGAAAAAAAATTTGAATTCATTTTATATCCTGTGAAATGCTAGACTGGGCTGGTAGGACAACCTTTAGGACTTTTTCCATAACAGAAGCAAATCACTGAATAGTCACTTGGTTTTGTGAATACCTACATGCTGTTAACAACTTGGGCCATACCCCAAAATCTGTACCCTCCAAACACTGCTAACCTGAGAGTTTGCAAAGAGAAAATACCTTTGGAAAACCATTGTTAACAAGCAAGCCATGCTCACAGCAGCATCTCTCATAAAACAAATTCATTTGCCACTAGGTGGCAGATACTATTTTTTTTTAAATTTATCACAGCGCAACTATTTTATTCTAAGCAAACCTGCTGAAGGTGGTGTCACAAAACGATTAGTCTGGGACGCACTGCAGCTGGTATTTTTCTTTGTTATGCAAATAGCAAATGAAGAGGAAGGCAAGAGACAGAATGTGCAGGAGCCCTCGGGACAGACCACCACCACATTAGGTTCCTACACTGGATTATATCGACCTCAGATCCTGCAGCTCTCCCCCTTGGAGTACAGCTCCTAGATAAGGCAACTTTCATTTGCTTCAGCAGCCCAGCTCTACTCCAGTTATCAGCCCAGCAAGGGCTTCCAGGAGTTCATGTATTCTTCAGTGTGTTGCTGCAACAAATTATTTTGGGGGCTAATCTTAACAATTCTCATGTAGCAGATACCCTCTCTGAATTCCCTGGCATGAGGAAGATGCCAGAGATAGTGAATTGGCTCTGTAGTTCTAAATGTTAGTGCATTCTTGAACTCTAGTCTTATGGAGGCATTTATAAATAGCCAAGGAATTTGTAACGAGAGGTCATCTGAGGATGCTAAATCCAGACTTCTCCTCAGTCATCGATTTCTAGGGGATTTCCTGCAGCCAAGCAGTGCTCTGCAAGCTTAGGCTGTGTAGAACTGCTGTTTCTCTCCTAGCTATTGAAAACCTGGAGAGAGCAGTCCCTTCCTGGGAAGGTGCGAAGTGATGCCAATTTTCCTCTCCCAACACTCCTGTGTGCTGCTGCTCCCGAGGGCACAGCACTGCTTGGGCAGCTGGCCACTGCTCTCCCAGTGGGCAGTGCCAGTCTGGCAGGGTAAGTTGATGCCTGTTGCAGGGGCCAGCTCTGCTTCTCACATCTCCTTTCCCTGTCCTTGGAGCATTGGCGTGGCCAGTCTGTTGGGATCATGCCAGCCAAGTGGGGCCGACACAGCCACCCTCCACTGCACCTCCACATGAGGTGAGAAGCTTCATCCATCCATCTGTCGTGTTTGTGCTTAAAGTTAAATTTAACCATTGTCTCTGTTAAGCTGTTTGGCACCTCAGTCTCTTAGATAAACTTTCCAAGTCTGTTTTCCTTCATCTCCCCTAGAGAAATCCCTAAGAGTTTAGAAGACAGACCAGGATCCATGGCTTGAAGTCTACCTCTGTACTGAAAACTCAGTAGATTTGTTGTCATTCTGGACCCTGCACTTGTCACCTCATTAATAATCCTGCACTGAATTTAGGTTATGAGTAAGCTGATCCTTCCAGCACGCTCAGTGTGACTGTCGGGAAGCTGCCACCTCCACGAGCATGGGGTGCTGGCCCGTGTTTCTCCCCTTTTGCCTTGCAAGTCCCTTTGTTGGTCTCTGGAATAAAAAGTTATTTTTTCATCTCCATCTGTCTTCTAATTCCTCCTGCCATCCCATTTGTCCCCCTCTACCTCAATTGCTGTAGGTTGGACCTTTCTTTTAACAGGCGATGTGTGGGGTTTTCTTATTCTCTTGAAACCTCAGCCAAGGTGAAAAAAGCTTTGCTGTCCCAAAGGTTATCCTCTCAATTGCCCTGTTATATGTAGATGGTGTGAATCATCCCCATCCTATTGTCCTTCTATATTTCAGCATTAATTACAAATAATAGGAGGTGTCTCAGCTCTTTGGTCCCTTGTGCTAGTCCCTACCTTGGGTGTTGCATGTAGTTTTTAAAGGTCTGCAGGTGACAATAATGTTATAATTAAAAAACTGAAAACCAAAAATCATCATCCCCTGTGCCTCACTAAAACAGTTTTTAACTTGCCAGAAAAATAAAATGCAGCTTCTTTTTGTTTGTTTCTTTTGTTGGTTTTATCTTTGCCATAGCTTTTTGCAGCTACACCTGGATGTGCAGAGAAGCCTGCAAAAGGGAGAGCTGCCAGGGCTCTGCCTCACAGTCACACAAGTGCACATGGCACTTTAAAACTTATCAAAAGAGAAAACAAAATCTCCTCCCTGTTGAGATCTGGGCCCCAAAGCTTTGGAGGTTCCCAGGTCTGAACTGAGCCAGGGCCCACAGCAGCCAGAGTACAGGACTGGGTGGTGACAGCACTCACCCCATCCCTCACAGTCCCCCTTGCCCTAGGGTTGTCGGCTGGGGGTCACCGGCCACCACGTGCCTGTGTTTGTGGGGTGTGGGGTTGAGTGCCTGCAAGCACAGAACTGGGAACACCACCCAGAGCATCTGGCTATGGACCAACAAACATTTCAAGAAGGCTTAGAGCCAAAAGTCACGTCAGTGGGAAGACAGAGGGGCTGGAAGTGCTCATCAGTGTGCTCACAGCCCAGTGATGAGCAGCCCCACACCAGGCAAAGCACTGGATCCAGCAGGACCCAGCACTTTGGGCTGCCACCGGGACAGACTCTGCCAGAGCCCAACGTTTGTGAGCAGGGAGGGAAAGCAGGACACTGAAAAGAGAGAAAGAAATTCAAATTCCAGCACTTGGGCCCCATTCATGGCAGGTCCTGAGTACTTTCTATTCCTTCTAAATTCCCTGGACAACAACTTTACACAGCAGAACTGCACTGTTACTGTGAACAGCTACACAGCTAATCTCCTTGGAGAAAAGCAGAGATATTTACATGCCCAGGAGTGTGAGTCACTGTGCAGAGACAAGAGGAAAACTCCATCATCTTGGGGAAAATGTCAAAAATCCACCTTCCCTGACCAGGTCCCCGTCCCTCCTTGGCTGCTCAGTGTGCCTGGAGAGACAGGCAGTTAGTTTGAAATCCAGGGCTGGCACCCCAAGAGATTTATGGATGTTAGTGCACCAGTGTAATGTAATCCTTGCCCCAATATTTAAAAATAGCCCAAGGGACTGGCCTACATAAACTCCAAGCCATGCAGTCTGGCCTGGGTGCCCAGTTAGCATGATGACATTTCAAACATGGTGCAGCTGACTTCATAGCAGTATCGTAGGTTTCATCTGGGAGAGGTATGCAAAGTGTGCACAGGGAATGATACTTCACATTGGATGAAAGCACCTAAACAACCTGGAGGAAGCACTCACTGTTTACTCTCCAGAGCAGCTACTAAATGAGCAGGAGCAATGCCTGTACTGTAATATTATTCAGCCATTTATGTGTGCTTGTTTTTCCTGGAAAACAGAGGAAAAGCAAGCCCTGGCAAGGCAGAGGATTACTGCACACATGAAGGGAGAAGCAGTAAATAGGTCAGTAAACACTGGCCAGACTGGGGCCCTTGGGGCTGGGCATCCTGCTGGCTCCCAGCAAAGCTTTGCACAGGCTGCCTACAATCCCCAGAGGCAGAGGTCAGTCCTGCGGCCTTCAGCTTGAGCCCTGTCTTCATGGGAGCTCCTGGAAACTGGCCTTTGTCCTCCTGGCTCCCAGCCAGGGACAGTGCAGGGATGCAGGTTTTGCACTCTCAGTGTTGTCAATCTCCTTCAGCGCTGGCCCGCCCAGGGACATTAGTGATGAGAAGAGCAAGTTTCCTTCTCCTGGGTACCCACTTTGTGTGGCTGTAGGATTGGATATCACACCAGACCCCACTTAG